ACTCCGAATATCCTTTACTATTCACCTCCGATCAAAGGCGGCGGGAAAATATATTTATCGTTGCAGGAACAAATGAATTAATATTATCTTGTTTTGGTATGTTATCTCGCTATTTTAGTCTCTACAAAAAAAAAATATTCTTCGCAATGTCCGCAGCTGGTACGAAACTTACGGAGTCACAAAGCGAGTTAATTTCAAGTTATTAATGCACTTTATATCAATCTGTTCGATCCGCTTTATTTTTATTTCAGGAATTCTTTCGCGAGGGCGTAGAGCTGTCCCAGACGGTAAGTTTATTTAAACGTACTTTGTTTTTTTTCCAAAGGTTCCCTTTACATTTTCTACAATGTCATGTAACACACAGTGAACTTGATTTTTCAATCAAAAAGGCGTAAATCCGTAATCGAAGCCCCATTCTGTACATTTCAAGAACAAACGAGACATTTGGAAGCCACATTACCAGAATTTTTGTCTTTGTACTACGCTCAAGACATGATCAAAAATAAATACAACAAAATACAATTCTTTATTGACACTACCCTGGTGGGGCTTTTCGGTGACAATGCAATTAAAAACCATATAAACATACCTACTTAAGAATTAATCATATAATAAGTGTTATCATTACATACTATACAATATGCACATTTCAAGCTAAAGTTACAATAAATTAAAATACTAGTAAGGTACTCAAAACACTATCACAACATGCTATTTAAAAAGTCAGTAATCAATTGGTTTTTCAGATAAAATTTTTAAGGTAGAAATCGATTCTGAAGTTTTAAGAGCGCTGTCAAGACTGTTCCAGATATGCACCATGCGATAGTACTAAATGTTCTCTGTCCGGCATTCGACTTAGCTATACAAGGGAATAAAGGCTGATAGTTTCTAAAGCAACNCAAAAGTGTTATTTACAAATAAGAGAATGTGCAAAGAGCTTTTGAGCCTCATCGCAGGAAAATATTTCTAATTTTCTCTCTAAAACTACTTAAGATTGGAATCAGCTCCCACTACGAGCTTCACATTACCTGTATCATCAATTTTCAGAACTTTTGTCGTTAATCAGTTCTATAAATTGGTGTAGCTGATTGTTTTTCCATTGAAGTCGAACATGGTCGGTAATTTTATTTTGATATTTTGTTGGTGATTGGTGCGTGCTTATTCTGCTTTAGCCAATCTAAAAAAAAGATGATTGTTACATCGCAAGCTGAGATTAACCCTCATTACTAATAAGTGATGAATTCTTGTCGGTTTGTTTACAGATCCTTTTGTAGATATCGATATCCGCAGCGAAGGTTGCGACGATCCGAAAAAGACACCAGACACGTGCGGTATCGCTTACATTAGAGTAGATGGAAAGGACCACTCCCGTCACCGCAGAGGACATAATGTTGTTATTGTGGACCGCAAAACAGGTAAAACCATGACATTAAAAGAGAAAAAAACAGGGTATTAACAAAGTCAAGAACTTTTTTTTTCAAGATTTTATGATAGAGATTGTCATTTTGTTGCTAAAACTCTGCTTTAGAATTGGCCAGATTCTGGGATTGGAGTGATTAGATTGTGTGTTTTCAAAATGAGTGTGATGAAGCGGCAGTGATAAATCATGATAAAATAAATGATAGAAAAAGTTGACTTATCATTTTTCTGTCTACTGCCGCTCTTTTCCACGTCATGCGTGAGATTCTTTTTTTTTTACTATCATACTAACAGCGAAAATCTCGAAAAGGCACGAATCCAATTTCTGTATCTCTACGCAGCTAAAGTGCTTTCATCAGAAGCCTTCGATACTCATGGAGATGGGTCAGCTGGCACTCGTCTAAGAGATTTTCTCAACGCACAGGGAGCGGAGTAAGCATTGTTTTGCCTTAAGTTTAGTAACTTTTTGTTACTATTATTATCATTTTGATATTACCTATCACCGTAACATGAAAGCCGACAACAACAGTATCAACAGCGAAATCAACGGCAGAAACATCTGGCATTAAAGTGTTGGATTCAACAGCCTTTAGAATGCATTGAGGCATCGAAATATATCTGAGCCGTAGACTTGTATCAGGCGTGTACATCTCCTTCCCAAAGAGTCTTCTTTTCGCTCGTTTTACTTTTGTGGTGCCTCACAACAACAAAAACAAGTTAATTGACTTTTGCGTAATAAGAAAATAAAACAATTTCATGTATCTAATCGCTGCAACACCGTCACGGAAAAAGAACACAATTTTTCGAATTTTGAGCAAAAAATTCGCTTCATACAAGATTTAAATACCGTACATTTATTAAAGATTTAGTGTTCGCTAATCTTATGCTATATTATTGTCTCGTTAAGCATCCAAACCTTTCTGATGCAAACATATTCTATCAGCGTTATAGGTTTCTAAAACACAACGTTTTCACAACTATTGCGTGTTTTCCTTTTCTTCTCAGTAAATTAGTCTTGATCGGCGTGCAGGATTCGGCCTCTTCGCACGTAGGAGTAGCTCTAGACGCTATTAGAAGGCTTGGCGCTGCTGATCCTATCCTGGTGGACTTCCGAGGATCATTTGCTCTGATTGGAACACCGGATGCAAGTAAACCTCCATGGATTGCACAGGATCAGCACCACAGATACAAAGGACCGAGCGAGATTTCTAAAAGAATTCCTCTCTCAGGTTAAATAAAAAGCTTTCTTCCTGCAACATTTGATTTCAACATTGAACTTCCATTTTGTTGCTCCAAGGTTTTTCCCGCGGATGACTGGTGAAGGTCACCATCATAGATTTTCCAGGACAATGCAACTTGAGTGTTTTACAAGTAATGTTTATGCTTAAATTATTTTTTCAATCACTCTTAAACTTTTCAGACTGTCAGAAGGCACTTGGGATGGAAAATTATGGAATACCCAATGGACAAGTGCAAGCATCTTCTGAATGGGACCCCAATCATGCAGCTATTCAGGGACGACTCCATTACAAACCACCTAGGGGCAAACAAGGAGCATGGTCAGCACGATCTAACAATGAAAATCAGTGGCTTCAAGTTGATCTGGGGAGTGAGTTCACCAAGGTGACGGGTGTCGCAACTCAAGGAAGATACAACTATAACCAGTGGGTGACGAAGTACAAGCTGCAATACAGTAATGATCCTGCTACTTTCACTTACTACAGAGAGCCTGGAGAAGCTGCAGACAAGGTGAAAAGTAATAACGAATTCTAGTTCATTAACAGGGATTCTCTTAGTTTCTCTCGTATTCTTTCGATTTCATCTTATATTTTTGCTATTTTCCTTGAAAGAGCTCTAAAGAACAATTATAATTCCTACTCCGCTAATCTGCTACACAACTTCGTTTTCGCGACTAATCTAATAGCACTCTCAGTCATTGATTTACTACTTTCCAGTTTCAACTGAAGAAATGCTCCTTTGTTCCTTTTCTTTTAGGTATTCGATGGAAACACGGACCAGAACACAGTTGTTTATCATTTCCTTAACGCACCAATTAAGGCTCGTTATATCCGTTTTCGACCAGTAACTTGGTCAGGGCATATCTCAATGAGAGTCGAGTTGTATGGTTGCTCAGGTAACAATCTTTCCTCTTTTCCTTTCCTCACCATGTTGTCATGGTAACCTTGTTATACCGTCCATTTTGTTACTGCCATACCACTAATACACTGAAATATTGATACTGTCAACCAATCAAATCCTCAAAACTTCTCCGGGATTTTATTATAATGTTTTTTATGAACATACGGAGATGAAATTCTTATTCAATGACAATTTATTGTTAAAAAGATTCAAGTCAAAGGCTCATTATCGATCATGAAATGTTTGAACGATAAAAATTTCCTTTCCGATAGATATATGTAATGGAAGAAACCACTTACAGCGGGCGAAAAATGTAAAAATACTTGCCAATACTCGAAACAAGACATCTTTAGCTTGAGGGTTTATTTTCATTGATTCTAAACATTTAATTTTGAAGAAAAATCCATTGGCTTACAAAACTAGGTAAAGGGCTACGAAAGTCTTGGTTTTAGTCATTGGGAAATATGTTTAACATTAGCTCTTTCTTTTCTTTCCTGTCCACCTTCATTTATCGATCGATTTGCTTGTTTGTTTTGTTTTCTCTGCTTCACTTAAAATAGCTTGTGGAGAAGCTCTGGGCATGGCAAGTTACGCAATTCCCAATGGACAAGTGACAGCTTCCTCGGAATGGGACCTCAATCATGCCGCCATTCAGGGACGACTTCACTACATACCTCCTCCAGGCAAACAAGGAGGTTGGTCAGCTCGACACAATAATGCTAATCAATGGCTTCAAATCGATCTAGGTGCGTTGTTCAGAGTGACAGGGGTCGCAACTCAAGGAAGATCCAACTACAACCAATGGGTGACGAAATACAAGCTGCAATACAGTTATGATGGTGTCACCTTTACTTACTACATGGAGGCAGGGCAGAGTGCAGCCAAGGTGAAACAAACTGCATGTAGAAATAAACCGCACAAACTTGATCCTATTTCAGTCGATTGATTTTTAAAACACGACCTAACAGGACATATGGTGTATTATATCTTTGAGTCAAATTGCCAATCATCGATGAGCAACTTTACAAGCGTATTAGTAGTAATCAGTATATGAGAATTCTTCCTGCTTATGACAGAGCTTTAGGATCAGCTCTTGCTTAACCCAAGGAGGGCCATATCGTACAAAACAGCTCGGAATTATGTTTATAGGACTCAGCTCTGCTCGTGACTCAAAGGTAGAACATAGAGTTAAATACGTATGATGCACGATCCTCGCAGTAGATAGCGCTATTTAAGCAATAGGGAAATTCAGACCTGAAAAAAAAATCAGGCCTGTACGGGACTCGAACCACTGACCTCTGCGATACTAGTGCAGCGCTCTAACCAATTGAGCTAACAAGCCAACTGAGAGCAGGCCGTTAAGTTGATTCGTAATGAACCCGTGAAAGTGATAAATGAGATAGAATAAATATATGAAAATCATATATTTTGAACTGCGGTATTTGATACGTATGATGGACGATCCTCGCAGTAGATAGCGCTATTTGAGCAATAGCGAAATTCAGACCTGAAAAAAATCAGGCCTGTACGGGACTCGAACCACTGACCTCTGCGATACTAGTGCAGCGCTCTAACCAATTGAGCTAACAAGCCAACTGAGAGCAGGCCGTTAAGTTGATTCGTAATGAACCCGTGAAAGTGATAAATGAGATAGAATAAATATATGAAAATCATATATTTTGAACTGCGGTATTTGATACGTATGATGGACGATCCTCGCAGTAGATAGCGCTATTTGAGCAATAGCGAAATTCAGACCTGAAAAAAATCAGGCCTGTACGGGACTCGAACCACTGACCTCTGCGATACTAGTGCAGCGCTCTAACCAATTGAGCTAACAAGCCAACTGAGAGCAGGCCGTTAAGTTGATTCGTAATGAACCCGTGAAAGTGATAAATGAGATAGAATAAATATATGAAAATCATATATTTTGAACTGCGGTATTTGATACGTATGATGGACGATCCTCGCAGTAGATAGCGCTATTTGAGCAATAGCGAAATTCAGACCTGAAAAAAATCAGGCCTGTACGGGACTCGAACCACTGACCTCTGCGATACTAGTGCAGCGCTCTAACCAATTGAGCTAACAAGCCAACTGAGAGCAGGCCGTTAAGTTGATTCGTAATGAACCCGTGAAAGTGATAAATGAGATAGAATAAATATATGAAAATCATATATTTTGAACTGCGGTATTTGATACGTATGATGGACGATCCTCGCAGTAGATAGCGCTATTTGAGCAATAGCGAAATTCAGACCTGAAAAAAATCAGGCCTGTACGGGACTCGAACCACTGACCTCTGCGATACTAGTGCAGCGCTCTAACCAATTGAGCTAACAAGCCAACTGAGAGCAGGCCGTTAAGTTGATTCGTAATGAACCCGTGAAAGTGATAAATGAGATAGAATAAATATATGAAAATCATATATTTTGAACTGCGGTATTTGATACGTATGATGGACGATCCTCGCAGTAGATAGCGCTATTTGAGCAATAGCGAAATTCAGACCTGAAAAAAATCAGGCCTGTACGGGACTCGAACCACTGACCTCTGCGATACTAGTGCAGCGCTCTAACCAATTGAGCTAACAAGCCAACTGAGAGCAGGCCGTTAAGTTGATTCGTAATGAACCCGTGAAAGTGATAAATGAGATAGAATAAATATATGAAAATCATATATTTTGAACTGCGGTATTTGATACGTATGATGGACGATCCTCGCAGTAGATAGCGCTATTTGAGCAATAGCGAAATTCAGACCTGAAAAAAATCAGGCCTGTACGGGACTCGAACCACTGACCTCTGCGATACTAGTGCAGCGCTCTAACCAATTGAGCTAACAAGCCAACTGAGAGCAGGCCGTTAAGTTGATTCGTAATGAACCCGTGAAAGTGATAAATGAGATAGAATAAATATATGAAAATCATATATTTTGAACTGCGGTATTTGATACGTATGATGGACGATCCTCGCAGTAGATAGCGCTATTTGAGCAATAGCGAAATTCAGACCTGAAAAAAATCAGGCCTGTACGGGACTCGAACCACTGACCTCTGCGATACTAGTGCAGCGCTCTAACCAATTGAGCTAACAAGCCAACTGAGAGCAGGCCGTTAAGTTGATTCGTAATGAACCCGTGAAAGTGATAAATGAGATAGAATAAATATATGAAAATCATATATTTTGAACTGCGGTATTTGATACGTATGATGGACGATCCTCGCAGTAGATAGCGCTATTTGAGCAATAGCGAAATTCAGACCTGAAAAAAATCAGGCCTGTACGGGACTCGAACCACTGACCTCTGCGATACTAGTGCAGCGCTCTAACCAATTGAGCTAACAAGCCAACTGAGAGCAGGCCGTTAAGTTGATTCGTAATGAACCCGTGAAAGTGATAAATGAGATAGAATAAATATATGAAAATCATATATTTTGAACTGCGGTATTTGATACGTATGATGGACGATCCTCGCAGTAGATAGCGCTATTTGAGCAATAGCGAAATTCAGACCTGAAAAAAATTAGGCCTGTACGGGACTCGAACCACTGACCTCTGCGATACTAGTGCAGCGCTCTAACCAATTGAGCTAACAAGCCAACTGAGAGCAGGCCGTTAAGTTGATTCGTAATGAACCCGTGAAAGTGATAAATGAGATAGAATAAATATATGAAAATCATATATTTTGAACTGCGGTATTTGATACGTATGATGGACGATCCTCGCAGTAGATAGCGCTATTTGAGCAATAGCGAAATTCAGACCTGAAAAAAATCAGGCCTGTACGGGACTCGAACCACTGACCTCTGCGATACTAGTGCAGCGCTCTAACCAATTGAGCTAACAAGCCAACTGAGAGCAGGCCGTTAAGTTGATTCGTAATGAACCCGTGAAAGTGATAAATGAGATAGAATAAATATATGAAAATCATATATTTTGAACTGCGGTATTTGATACGTATGATGGACGATCCTCGCAGTAGATAGCGCTATTTGAGCAATAGCGAAATTCAGACCTGAAAAAAATCAGGCCTGTACGGGACTCGAACCACTGACCTCTGCGATACTAGTGCAGCGCTCTAACCAATTGAGCTAACAAGCCAACTGAGAGCAGGCCGTTAAGTTGATTCGTAATGAACCCGTGAAAGTGATAAATGAGATAGAATAAATATATGAAAATCATATATTTTGAACTGCGGTATTTGATACGTATGATGGACGATCCTCGCAGTAGATAGCGCTATTTGAGCAATAGCGAAATTCAGACCTGAAAAAAATCAGGCCTGTACGGGACTCGAACCACTGACCTCTGCGATACTAGTGCAGCGCTCTAACCAATTGAGCTAACAAGCCAACTGAGAGCAGGCCGTTAAGTTGATTCGTAATGAACCCGTGAAAGTGATAAATGAGATAGAATAAATATATGAAAATCATATATTTTGAACTGCGGTATTTGATACGTATGATGGACGATCCTCGCAGTAGATAGCGCTATTTGAGCAATAGCGAAATTCAGACCTGAAAAAAATCAGGCCTGTACGGGACTCGAACCACTGACCTCTGCGATACTAGTGCAGCGCTCTAACCAATTGAGCTAACAAGCCAACTGAGAGCAGGCCGTTAAGTTGATTCGTAATGAACCCGTGAAAGTGATAAATGAGATAGAATAAATATATGAAAATCATATATTTTGAACTGCGGTATTTGATACGTATGATGGACGATCCTCGCAGTAGATAGCGCTATTTGAGCAATAGCGAAATTCAGACCTGAAAAAAATCAGGCCTGTACGGGACTCGAACCACTGACCTCTGCGATACTAGTGCAGCGCTCTAACCAATTGAGCTAACAAGCCAACTGAGAGCAGGCCGTTAAGTTGATTCGTAATGAACCCGTGAAAGTGATAAATGAGATAGAATAAATATATGAAAATCATATATTTTGAACTGCGGTATTTGATACGTATGATGGACGATCCTCGCAGTAGATAGCGCTATTTGAGCAATAGCGAAATTCAGACCTGAAAAAAATCAGGCCTGTACGGGACTCGAACCACTGACCTCTGCGATACTAGTGCAGCGCTCTAACCAATTGAGCTAACAAGCCAACTGAGAGCAGGCCGTTAAGTTGATTCGTAATGAACCCGTGAAAGTGATAAATGAGATAGAATAAATATATGAAAATCATATATTTTGAACTGCGGTATTTGATACGTATGATGGACGATCCTCGCAGTAGATAGCGCTATTTGAGCAATAGCGAAATTCAGACCTGAAAAAAATCAGGCCTGTACGGGACTCGAACCACTGACCTCTGCGATACTAGTGCAGCGCTCTAACCAATTGAGCTAACAAGCCAACTGAGAGCAGGCCGTTAAGTTGATTCGTAATGAACCCGTGAAAGTGATAAATGAGATAGAATAAATATATGAAAATCATATATTTTGAACTGCGGTATTTGATACGTATGATGGACGATCCTCGCAGTAGATAGCGCTATTTGAGCAATAGCGAAATTCAGACCTGAAAAAAATCAGGCCTGTACGGGACTCGAACCACTGACCTCTGCGATACTAGTGCAGCGCTCTAACCAATTGAGCTAACAAGCCAACTGAGAGCAGGCCGTTAAGTTGANTGTATGTATGTATGTATGTATGTATGCGTGACACGTTAATAAAGGTTATGTATGTAAGTATGTAGTCAGACGGTCACGCATCTTAAAAGAAATCTGAAGTTTGGTGTCGTCAACGTAACATTGTGTCAAACAATTTCTTGGAATAGATGGTAAGTCGTTGATGTAAATACTAAAAAATAGCGGCCCAAGGATGCTTCCTTGGGGAACGCCACTATTTAAACGCAGCGAACTCGAAATGGTCGAGTTTATACGCACGACTTGGTGTGTGTCGGTCAGGTAGCTGGTAAACCACCCGAGAGCGTGTTTAGAAGTGGCAAGATCTTGTGGTTTAAAAGGAGAATAACATGATTTATACTATCAAAAGCCTTACCCATGTCTAACAACGCTGTAGCAGAGATTTCCTGCTTATCTATGCCAGTCAAAATGGCATCTGTGGAGCGGATAAGTCCTGTTTCTGTGGAATGAAAGTTCTTATTTCTACTTTGTTTCCTTGAGAGATGGTTGTTAAGTATGCCGTCAACTGGGTCAACACAATTCTTTCACATACCTTTGACAATACTGGTAACAACGAGATCGGTCTGTTATTACAGGGTTGTTCATGATCTCCTTCCTTTGGAATAGGTGTTACTACTGCTTGTTTCCATCCTCCAGGGAACACACTACTTGCAAGAGAGGCATTTTATGATGTGAGTGATCGGCGACAAAATAACTGACAGACCGTCCTTGATTACGCGCGTAGAGATTTGTCAAAGCCAGGCGCTTTGTTTGATGGTAAAGATGCAATGATCTGTTCAACTTGCTTACAATTACCAGAATGGAATGAAAATTGTACAGAAAATGGGTAGCGCGTACGGACGAAGGGTGTTTTTGTAAGATGTAATTACATTCAGAGGCAAGTGCTTTGATTTTGTTAACAGTGCTTAGCCGACTGAGGTAAAAAATTCATTAAAGGAGTTTGCAACGGATTCGTCGTCCTAACTATACACCAAACAACCTGACGATCTCCTAGGAAGGATGGATCTTATGGTTTTCCACAAGTTGCCGGAGGAGTTGCGATCTAATCCCGAACAAAGTCTCTTTCAGCTATTCTGATTTTGCGTTTAACCTGTCGTTTATAGTTTCTGAAACCGGCCCAGGCAAGTGGGTCGTTAGATCTATGAACCAGTTACTTTCATTTGTCTCTTGTTCTCATTAACTCACGTATTTCAGGCGTAATAAATGGGTTGGGACGGCCACGAATTTTAACCTTTTGGACAAGTGCGTGTCGATCTAGGATTTGCTCAAAAAGCTGGTGAAAAGCATAGAGGCAGTCCTCAACATCCTCGAATGTTTCGATTATATGCCATGGGGCTTGTGAGAGATCACCGTTAAATGCTTCAGACGGATTTATAGTTCTTGTAGCTCCTAGTAGTTAGAATGTATGTCGGTTTGGAACGCCTCTTTCTCATGTTCAAGACAACAAGTATTAGTTCGTGGTCGCTTATAGAGGAAGGAGAAACTTTTTCTTATTTCACCAAATTAGCATTTCAGACCAAGGAAACGTCAATCAGAGATTCCGTAGACTCTGTAAATCGCGTTGGGTGACTGATAACTTGCGATAAATTTAACGAAGAGCAAAACCTCACGAGGGCTTGTGCAGGTGGGTCTTGCAAAGACAATAAATTACTGTTAAGATCACCCAGGATGTAAACGGGCAAGTTCATCAAAAATGCTGAAACTAATTGCTAAAGTCGGCATCAAAGCAATCCAAGTGTGTATTTGGTGGTCTGTAGGTTGTGTAGACTAGAAACGATTTGGTTGTCCATTTCAGCAAAATAATCCTGATTGCAGTCCAAGACGAGGGTTTACGCTATCTTGAAAAAGCTTTTGATGCTCTGACGAGAATTGGTGGCTATGACGTGAGCTCTCTCGAATTCCGCGGATCATACGCTCTCATTGGATATCTGAGAGAAAAGAAGCCATCTTATGTTAAACAAATACAGAGGAAGAGAGGCCAAGGACCAAGCGTGATCTCCGCGACGGTTCCACTCACGACGAGTACGTTTTATATATATTTGATAGTTTTATCCGATGAAATAATTAGAAGTTCATGCGCGATATGTTAGTACGCAAGATGGAAAGACCTTTTCATGTAATGATACGAGGATTGTTCATTTACTTTTCTTGGATAACGACATGAAACAATGATGAATGCCTCAGCCGATTGCCACAATTTCACGATGCACGAAGAGCGCCATGGACAAGCTGTGTATCCTTATTAGTCCGCCGTAAGCTCTCTTTTTCAAAAGTGTTATTTACAAATAAGAGAATGTGCAAAGAGCTTTTGAGCCTCATCGCAGGAAAATATTTCTAATTTTCTCTCTAAAACTACTTAAGATTGGAATCAGCTCCCACTACGAGCTTCACATTACCTGTATCATCAATTTTCAGAACTTTTGTCGTTAATCAGTTCTATAAATTGGTGTAGCTGATTGTTTTTCCATTGAAGTCGAACATGGTCGGTAATTTTATTTTGATATTTTGTTGGTGATTGGTGCGTGCTTATTCTGCTTTAGCCAATCTAAAAAAAAGATGATTGTTACATCGCAAGCTGAGATTAACCCTCATTACTAATAAGTGATGAATTCTTGTCGGTTTGTTTACAGATCCTTTTGTAGATATCGATATCCGCAGCGAAGGTTGCGACGATCCGAAAAAGACACCAGACACGTGCGGTATCGCTTACATTAGAGTAGATGGAAAGGACCACTCCCGTCACCGCAGAGGACATAATGTTGTTATTGTGGACCGCAAAACAGGTAAAACCATGACATTAAAAGAGAAAAAAACAGGGTATTAACAAAGTCAAGAACTTTTTTTTTCAAGATTTTATGATAGAGATTGTCATTTTGTTGCTAAAACTCTGCTTTAGAATTGGCCAGATTCTGGGATTGGAGTGATTAGATTGTGTGTTTTCAAAATGAGTGTGATGAAGCGGCAGTGATAAATCATGATAAAATAAATGATAGAAAAAGTTGACTTATCATTTTTCTGTCTACTGCCGCTCTTTTCCACGTCATGCGTGAGATTCTTTTTTTTTTACTATCATACTAACAGCGAAAATCTCGAAAAGGCACGAATCCAATTTCTGTATCTCTACGCAGCTAAAGTGCTTTCATCAGAAGCCTTCGATACTCATGGAGATGGGTCAGCTGGCACTCGTCTAAGAGATTTTCTCAACGCACAGGGAGCGGAGTAAGCATTGTTTTGCCTTAAGTTTAGTAACTTTTTGTTACTATTATTATCATTTTGATATTACCTATCACCGTAACATGAAAGCCGACAACAACAGTATCAACAGCGAAATCAACGGCAGAAACATCTGGCATTAAAGTGTTGGATTCAACAGCCTTTAGAATGCATTGAGGCATCGAAATATATCTGAGCCGTAGACTTGTATCAGGCGTGTACATCTCCTTCCCAAAGAGTCTTCTTTTCGCTCGTTTTACTTTTGTGGTGCCTCACAACAACAAAAACAAGTTAATTGACTTTTGCGTAATAAGAAAATAAAACAATTTCATGTATCTAATCGCTGCAACACCGTCACGGAAAAAGAACACAATTTTTCGAATTTTGAGCAAAAAATTCGCTTCATACAAGATTTAAATACCGTACATTTATTAAAGATTTAGTGTTCGCTAATCTTATGCTATATTATTGTCTCGTTAAGCATCCAAACCTTTCTGATGCAAACATATTCTATCAGCGTTATAGGTTTCTAAAACACAACGTTTTCACAACTATTGCGTGTTTTCCTTTTCTTCTCAGTAAATTAGTCTTGATCGGCGTGCAGGATTCGGCCTCTTCGCACGTAGGAGTAGCTCTAGACGCTATTAGAAGGCTTGGCGCTGCTGATCCTATCCTGGTGGACTTCCGAGGATCATTTGCTCTGATTGGAACACCGGATGCAAGTAAACCTCCATGGATTGCACAGGATCAGCACCACAGATACAAAGGACCGAGCGAGATTTCTAAAAGAATTCCTCTCTCAGGTTAAATAAAAAGCTTTCTTCCTGCAACATTTGATTTCAACATTGAACTTCCATTTTGTTGCTCCAAGGTTTTTCCCGCGGATGACTGGTGAAGGTCACCATCATAGATTTTCCAGGACAATGCAACTTGAGTGTTTTACAAGTAATGTTTATGCTTAAATTATTTTTTCAATCACTCTTAAACTTTTCAGACTGTCAGAAGGCACTTGGGATGGAAAATTATGGAATACCCAATGGACAAGTGCAAGCATCTTCTGAATGGGACCCCAATCATGCAGCTATTCAGGGACGACTCCATTACAAACCACCTAGGGGCAAACAAGGAGCATGGTCAGCACGATATAACAATGTAAATCAGTGGCTTCAAGTTGATCTGGGGACTGAGTTCACCAAGGTGACGGGTGTCGCAACTCAAGGAAGATACAATTATAACCAGTGGGTGACGAAGTACAAGCTGCAATACAGTTATGATCGTGCTACCTTCACCTACTACAAAGAGCCTGGACAAACTGCAGACAAGGTTAAAAGGAATAACACATTCTAGTTGATTCACAAGGATTCCCTCTCTTATTTTTTCTATTTCATCTTATATTTTCCCTATTTTCTTTGAAAGAGCTCTAAAGGACAACTATCATTTGTACCCCGCTAATCTGATACACAACCTCGTTTTCGCGACTAATTTAATAGCACTCTCACTCATTGCTTTTACTACTTTCAAGTTTCAACTGAAGAAATGCTCCTTCGATCCTTTTCTTTTAGGTATTCGATGGAAACATGGACCAGAACACAGTTGTTTATCATTTCCTTAACGCACCAATTAAGGCTCGTTATATCCGTTTTCGACCAGTGACTTGGTCAGGGCATATCTCAATGAGAGTCGAGTTGTATGGTTGCCCAGGTACAGTGATATTACAGTCTTTCCTCTGCTCCTTTCCTCAACATGTTGTCATGGTAACCTTGTTGACACCGTCCATCTTTTACTATTATACCACTAATACACTGAAATATTGTCAACCAATCAAATCCTCAAAATTTCTCCGGACTTTTATTACAGTGTTTGTTTTGAACATACGGAGACTCAATTCTTATTTAATGAAAATTTATTGTTAAAAAGATTCAAGTCAAAGGCTCATTATAGATCATGAAATATTTGAACAATAAAAATTTCCTTTCTGATAGATATATGTTATGGAAGAAACCACTTAAAGCGGCGAAAAGTGTAAAAATACCTGTCAATACTTGAAACAAGACATCTTAAGCTTGAAGGTTTATTTTCATCGATTCTAATCAATTATTTCTTAAGAAAAATCCATCGGCTTACAAAACTATGTAAAGGGCTATGAACGTCTTTTATTTAGTCAGGATAAGGCCTGTCACACCTCTTTGAAAGTAAGAGCTCGTTAATGTTATGTTTAATTCTTTTATATCCTGAGTTGATCTCTTAAATTTTCTTTAGAAATGGTAAAAGGCACTGAACTTGGCTAAATTAATATCGGAAAAGATTCATCTGCAAAATTTTACTAAGTTAAACTCATCTTTTAATACAGCGTCCCTGTGCTAATAGAGGGTGACTCACTTTCTGCTATTTGGAAATATTTTCAACATTAGCTATTTCATTTCTTTCCTTTCCACCTTCATTTATCAATCGATTTGCTTGTTTGTTTTGTTTTCTCTACTTCACTTAAAATAGCTTGTGGAGAAGCTCTGGGCATGGCAAGTTATGCAATTTCTAATGGACAAGTGAGAGCTTCCTCGGAATGGGACCCCAATCATGCTGCCATCCAGGGACGACTTTATTACATACCTCCTTCAGGAAAGCAAGGAGGTTGGTCAGCTCGATATAATAATGCTGATCAATGGCTTCAAATTGATCTGGGTGCGTTGTTCAGAGTGACGGGTGTTGCAACTCAAGGAAGATCCAACAACAACCAGTGGGTGACGAAGTACAAGCTGCAATACAGTGATGATGGTGTCACCTTTACTTACTACATGGAGGCAGGGCAGAGTGCAGCCAAGGTGAAACAAACTGCATGTAGAAATACATCGCATAAACCTGATCCTACATGTATCTATCTAAAGAGACGTTTGGTGAATTATATCTTTTAGTCAAATTGCCATTCATCAATGAGCAACCTTATAAGGGTATTAGTAATAATGAAAAATCTTCCATATTACAACAGAGCTTTCAGATCAGTTCTTGCTCAACCTAAGCTGGGTCTTATCGTAAAAAGAAAACTCCGAATGATATTATTTTAGATACCTCAGTTTTGCTCGTGATCCAAAAGTATACTACAGAGTATGTGTTTGGAGGATGGTCTGAAATCAAACTTAGTCTACTTACGGCTGGTTCTTTATTTGTTTGCTTGCAATCGGCTCGAGTCCGGTTTTTCCTGCAGGTTTAATATGAATATACTTTCATAGAAGCAGAGGACTTCTTATTCTAGCCATGCCCTCTTAGTGTTAAGTGATGTAATTCTTTTTCCTGGATTTTTCATATATAGGAATTTCTTGCGAACAAAGATCGCAATACTATTGTGTATCATTCACTAAATCCACCGAAGACGACACGTTTTATCCGGTTCCACCCGGTCACCTGGACCAACCACATATCAATGAGGGCAGAGGTGTATGGATGTCCAGGTACATTTCTGCATACGGGAGTTCATTTTCTCTACTATTTGGACATACGTCTAGCCCTCGTCATCTCTTTTTTTTTTTCGCCTTTATTCATCTATTGATGAATTCGTTTGTTTGTTTGTTTTTTCGGCTTCATGTAAATTAGATTGTGGAGAAGCTCTGGGCATGGCAAGTTACGCAATTCCCAATGGGCAAGTAAGAGCTTCCTCGGAATGGGACCCCAATCATGCCGCCATTCAGGGACGACTTCACTACATACCTCCTCCAGGCAAACAAGGAGGTTGGTCAGCTCGATACAATGATGCTAATCAATGGCTTCAAATTGATCTGGGTGCGTTGTTCAGAGTGACAGGGGTCGCCACTCAAGGAAGACACAACCACGATCAGTGGGTGACGAAATACAAGCTGCAATACAGCGATGATGGTGTCACCTTTACTTCCTACATGGAGGCAGGAAAGAGTGCAGCCAAGGTGAAACAAACTGCATGTAGAAAAAAACCGCACAAACTTGATCTTGTTTTCATTTCATTCGATTGATTTTTAAAACAGGGCCTATCGACCGAACAAGACATTTGGTGTATTATATCTTTCAGTCAAATTTCCAATCATCGATGAGCAACTTTACAAGCGTATTAATAGTGATCAGTATATGAGAATTCTTTCTGCTCATAACAGAGCTTTAAGATCAGTTCTTGCTTAGCCCGAGGAGGGCCTTCTCGTACAAAAAAGCTCGGAATTATGTTTTATACGACTCAGCTCTGCTCGTGATTCAAAGGTATAACATAGAGTTAAATGTTTGCAAGAAGGTCTCGAACCAAACTTGGTTAGCATGCTTACAGCTGGTTCTTCACGAGCTTGTTTGTGATCGGCTCGAATCTGGTTTTGCCAGTAGCTATGATGTGAATAAACCTTTATACTAGAAGCAGATCGAGGACTTCTTTTTCTGGACATGCCATCTAATTTTTAATGTTGTATTCTTTTCCTGGAATTTTCATACACAGGAATTTGTTGCAAACAAAGACCAGAATACCATTGTTCATCATTCACTTAATCCACCAAAAATGACACGTTTTATCCGGTTCCTCCCAGTCTCCTGGAATAACCATATATCAATGAGAACAGAGGTGTATGGATGTCGAGGTACAACTTTCAGACAGGAGTCCTTCTCTCACTAGCTTAATGGCTCTCTGGAAGTGTTACCCCTATGGATCGTTTACATTTGGATGATGAAAGCTGTTAGTAAAAATCTAAAATAAAGATCCTTTTTTTTCAAGGAGGGGAAACCATTCTTCTATCCAATGCGATTAAAAAAAAGATAAGATGACAAGGAAATCATAATAATGATAAACTCCTCAATTACGTTGATAAAAATTTCACTGGTTCATTATTAGAAAGTGGAAATAACTATTTTCGACAGCTATGACTTTGGTTTTAAGTCGTGATTCGCATGGTTTCGTAGTCCATGCAAGTGGAAAGGATGCATTTTTAAATAAAAATTGAATATTTGTAAGGTTTTCACTTTCGTTCTTTTATAAATCGTGACATTTGAACAACAACAGCCACCAAAAATGGCACATTTTGTGTTTAGTTGTAGATATGTGTTCACAGAATCCATGCAAGAACGGAGCTACCTGCAGCAATGTCGAGGGAGGTTATCAATGTGCTTGTAAACCTGGTTATTCTGGAACCAACTGCGATCAAGGTGAAACTGTAGCTCTATATAACCTTTAAGCATTTTTTGGTTTTATATCGATAGCTGATGAACTGCAAGGTGTACTTTCATTTCTTCGCGCAGTCATTGCCGAATAACGTTTCGACCAACTTTTCCAACCGAACGGACGCAAACTAGAGATGAANTCATGATCTCCTTCCTTTGGAATAGGTGTTACTACTGCTTGTTTCCATCCTCCAGGGAACACACCACTTGCAAGAGAGGCATTTTATGATGTGAGTGATCGGCGACAAAATAACTGACAGACCGTCCTTGATTACGCGCGTAGAGATTTTGTCAAAGCCAGGCGCTTTGTTTGATGGTAAAGATGCAATTATCTGTTCAACTTGCTTACAATTACCAGAATGGAATGAAAATTGTTCAGAAAATGGGTAGCGCGTACGGACGAAGGTTGTCTTTGAAAGATCGTAATTACATTCAGAGGCAAGTGCTTTGATTTTGCTAACAGTTCTTAGCCGACTGAGGTAAAAAATTCATTAAAGGAGTTTGCAACGGATTCCTCGTCCTAACTATACACCAAACAACCTGACGATATCCTAGGAAGGATGGATCTTATGGTTTTCCACAATTTGCCGGAGGAGTTGCGATCTAATCCCGAACAAACTCTCTTTCAGCTATTCTGATTTCGCGTTTAACCTGTCGTTTATAGTTTCTGAAACCGGCCCAGGCAAGTGGGTCGTTAGATCTATGAACCAGTTACTTGCATTTGTCTCTTGTTCTCATTAACTCACGTATTTCAGGCTTAATAAATGGGTTGGGACGGCCACGAATTTTAAACTTTTGGACAAGTGCGTGTCGATCTAGGATTTGCTCAAAAAGCTGGTGAAAAGCATAGAGGCAGTCCTCAACATCCTCGAATGTTTCGATTATATGCCATGGGGCTTGTGAGAGATCACCGTTAAATGCTTCAGACGGATTTATAGTTCTTGTAGCTCCTAGTAGTTAGAATGTATGTCGGTTTGGAACGCCTCTTTCTCATGTTCAAGACAACAAGTATTAGTTCGTGGTCGCTTATAGAGGAAGGAGAAACTTTTTCTTATTTCACCAAATTAGCATTTCAGACCCAGGAAACGTCAATCAGAGATTCCGTAGACTCTGTAAATCGCGTTGGGTGACTGATAACTTGCGATAAATTTAACGAAGAGCAAAACCTCACGAGGGCTTGTGCAGGTGGGTCTTGCAAAGACAATAAATTACTGTTAAGATCACCCAGGATGTAAACGGGCAAGTTCATCAAAAATGCTGAAACTAATTGCTAAAGTCGGCATCAAAGCCATCCAAGTGTGTATTTGGTGGTCTGTAGGTTGTGTAGACTAGAAACGATTTGAAATTACGTACTTGATTTTTTAGCCAAAGCTGATGCAAACTAGACTCGGAAATGTAGCAAATCTCGGATAACCTTTCAGCTCGATATTCTTGCCTGACAAAGGCGCAGACACCTCCTCTATGTTTGTTTACGCGGTCGAGTCGATGTAAGATATACCCAGGAAATTCGACTTCAGCGTCGGAAACATAGCTGTCAAGCCATGACTCAGAGATTGCGAAGATGTCTATTTCTTTAGAAATGACAGTTTCCTTAGTCAGAATAAGATGTTCCCGGTTCTTAAGCGAACGAATATTTAAATGTGCGATCTTGATATTACTAGTAATTTCGCGTTGTCTTCGTGGTCTGCTTGTCGTGTTACAATTATTTGTTGGCATCCCTGGATTAAGTTCAACGTCGCTAGAAAGCATGAGACGTTGGATTGAAAAAGTAGAGGCCGAGCTAGGGTAATAGGATATTCTAGACTTGAAATACTTTCTTCTTCTTGAAGTTTAAACTCGGTTGTATTTATAGCATTTACTCGCGCTCAGTGTACGGCTGGGTTGAGAATTTTCTGAATGAGTCGAACCAGTAAGATCCGTCGTAGAAAAGGCGCGTCTACCATCGAAAGAAGGTTTACTTGAGTATTCGAAAAGACAATTCCACATAAGACCGCAATACAGAAGAGATATAAGGACGAGAATTAGGAGCACCGTATGAGCACGTCTCGCCATATTGAATTCCATTTTGAATTCCATATATATTGCATAAATATCTTTCTTTCCTCACTGAGCTCACAATGTACTACCTCTCACTTCTACTCGTACTGACAGAAGTCTCCTTACACTGATAAAAATGGTAAGACAACCATCTAGTGTATCCAGTTACTAGATCAACGCTTTGATTCCGGAGTAGTT